GTTTCGACGCTTCAGAGGACAGCCTTTGGAACACCGAGACCCTCTGTGGAGCGGTCTTGGGGCAGCTACACGCTGATAATACTGTCCTGATAAGTTTGGTACACGGACAGTGAGAGTCCGCTTCCCAGGTACTTTTCTTTCGAGATTTATTCGTACCCCCAGCCCGATAGTACAACTCATCGACATTATGCCCGGAGCAACCTATCGACTGTTTACATGAATTCTCAGGTATAACGCGTTCGTCTGTCTGACACGTTTTCTTCTGAGTAAACAATGCCTTGTTGGCGTCTGTAGGAGTCACTCGTTTGGAATCATACTTTTCCGAGGGTGAAACCTTAATGGGCTCTTGGCCTTCTATACGCACCCCTAAGCGGGCGGTTATAAGAATCAACTTGTTAGGAGGTCGCGTACGACCCCCTAGTCTGGATGTTTGCTCGGGGTTCCTTCAACGGTTCCAAACGTTCCTTAACAGGCGCTCTGCCTCGATCTTCGGGTAGAGGACCGAGGCAATCCTTTAATGGAATTCTAATTCTGAAGAGATCCACACCGCTGTAGCGTTCCACCGGAGGAGTGGAAGCGGAAGGAGTGAGATCCGAAGTTGACGAGGGCTGGGGAGTAATGTCGCCTGCTTTGCCTTAGGCGTTGATTTAGCCTTTGGCATCCAAATTTGTTTGGATCTCGGCGATCTCTTAACGGCATCTTCCTTTTGCATTTCTTGTGCTTTTCGCACAAGAATCTGGGCATGCGTAAGAAGTGCGCGACGCTTCTGAATGCGCTCCTCAAGAATGGAACGGTTCCATTTGACACGAACCCATTCGTTAGTAGGTGGTTGGGAGGAGGTTCCCGAAGCTTGCTGCTGGAACACTTCGCGCCTTCTGAGTTTTAGATCCGCATCATAGCAGATCCCGTCAACAGGCTTCAAAGCCTTGGCAAATTGGCGCGCGAGATGTTGACGGCGCCTTTGACGAGCCCTCTTCATTAGCATTGATGCACTTTCAACGGGAAACTCTTTGACTTTCGAGGAGTTATCATGAACGTTGGATCTGGTTTCTTTGGAGACCGGAGAGGGGTCTTCTTCTGCATTCGGGTTCAGATCATCAGCTATGATCTTCGGATCTGAAGGCACATTCTTCGCGGTAGTGGTTTTCCTGTGTTTGCAAGAAGAAGATCTAGAGGAGGAGGAGGAAATATATTCCTTGAATTTCTGCTGGTCGAATTCGTATTCGACCTCTTCGAACACTAGGATCTTGATCGTCAGCTGCAGCACGACAGCTTCGGCAGCAAAGATGTTAGCTCCCACTGTGGTCGCCAGCTTGTTTACGGTAAAAGTTGATATCTTCATTGCTGAATCTATTACACGATTAAGATTACAGATTCAAAGTAAAATTAGTCTTTTTATAATACTTTCTTACACAATGAAAATAAAAAAAATACAACTCTCGTCAAACAGCGCAACGGGTGTTTATCGCCCGCTGCTTGCGTGGGATCTTGGCCTGTGACGGGAATGTTGATATCCGTGGACCACCAAACAATCAGATCAGATCCGGAGCTTCGTTGATTCGCGAAGGAATCAAGAAATCAAAGCAGTTATCTCGGTAACGGCGAGATAACCACTCTTCTCGAGATCACCGCAACGGGGCGATCTCAAGGAAGGAACCAGGAAGTGTAGATCTGACGAGCTCCTCTTCTTTATACTGACGAACTCGATCCGATCTTTCCTCCTCCTCTCTAAAATTTGTGGCTCTTCAGTCCTCAATTCGGCAGGGCTTCGCCGACGCTCGAGAATTCTAGATTTGGAAAAATGAAGGCCATGGGGCTGTATTTATAGGCTTCCCCCCTGTTTTCGGATAAGAAAGATCGATTCCCTCTTATCCTCAGTTCTTATCCTCAGTTACAACCACTTAACCACGTTCTTAGATAGATTCAGATCAGTTGGAACAAATCCAGGCGGTTAGGGATCGAAAAACAGCTTCAAACTACGCAAAGCTAGATTTTCGATTCTGCGTACACCTGTGGGTGTCTCGGCCATGCTTGGTCCGAGACACTCCTTGGTGTCTCGGCCAAAGCTTGGTCGAGACACCTATGGGTGTCTCAACCAAGCCTTGGCCAAGACACCTCTTGGTGTCTCGTCAAGGTTTGGCTTGGATAGTTTTGTTCGTTCTGTCCGTTTCCGCTATATTTTCGTCACCCGAACTAGGAATCACGTGATTTAAGATGCGTTGGAAATCTAATGAGTAGATTTATGAGCTGCCATGGTTGAATCACATGTGGAATAAATAGGATACGAGGGGCGCTTCGCCTTTCGTAAGCGAAGCGGAGCTCCCGATCAACTCGTGTTTCCGTTATTCTGTTGTTCCGTTGCTTCACATAGTTTATCGACTCACTCCATGTGCTTGTCGATGTCAAATGAGCTTCTGTGATTTATATAGTGACGTTCATCATTTTCTCTCTATCTCGAGCCGCGTGCGGGGACTTATAGGTAATTTTTGACGCCTACACTTACATGATAACGTGCTATACTTACAGTAAAACATGTTATACTTACCTGATAACGTGCTATACTTATAGTAAAATGTGTTATACTTATAGTATAATGTGTTATACTTACAATAAAACGTGCTATACTTGCAGTATAACTTGCTATACTTACATGATAACGTGCTATACTTATAGTAAAACGTGTTATACTTAAAGTATAATGTGATATACTTATAGTAAAACGTGTTATACCTACATGATAACATGTTATACTTACAGTATAACGTGTTATACTTATAGTAAAACGTGCTATACTTACATGATAACGTGATATATTTACAGTATAACGTGCTATACTTACAGTAAAACGTGCTATACTTACATGATAACGTGCTACACTTACAGGATAATGCACTATACTTATAGTAAAACGTGCTATACTTATATGATAACGTGCTATATTTACAGTAAAACGTGTTATACTTACAGTAAAATATGTTATACTTACAGTATAATGTGCTATACTTACATGATAACGTGCTATACTTACAGTAAAACATGCTATACTTATAGTATAACGTGATATACTTACAATAAATGTGTTATACTTACATGATAACGTGCTATACTTACAGTATAACATGCTATACTTACATGATAACGTGCTATACTTATAGTATAACGTATTATACTTACATGATAATGTGCTATACTTATAGTATAACATGTTATACTTATAGGATAACGTGCTATACTTACAGTAAAACGTGCTATACTTATATACTTACAAGATAACGTACTATACTTACAGTAAAATATGCTATACTAACAGTATAACGTGCTATACTTACATGATAACGTGCTATACTTACAGGTTTTGTGTTATGCGAAACAAAATAATGCAATGCTCCATCGAGAAAGAAAAAACTAGATGCACTGATCCAAGTCTTGGCAAACATCTTGTTTAGCCCTCATCTTGACATCAACAAAAAAAAAAAATGCTCGTAATGCGAATAAAATAGACTAGAATATATCTATCATCAAATCTACCACAGAAGCCACAAAACCCCAGTAATTTAACCGAAGAATGTAAATGACAAACTAACAACGTACCAGAATTGTGGCGGAACTTTACATAACCAATCCCAACAGCAGTCCCACATATTTCATACTGACAAACATATATTCATACTGACAAACATATATTTATACAAATACTTTACAAATCAATTTCAAAACGTATATTTACACACAAAAAAAATATTGGATATCACATTTGGCATCTAGCATCTGGGGAATTGGTCTTGAAGATGACGTTGATATCCTAAAATCAAAATATAAGCGGATCAGAAAAAATAATGGATTGAATATAAGCGGTTCAATGAACATTATATTTATGAAAAATATACCTTCAGATAAAAATAGAGCAACAATACGGCCTCTATATCTTGCATAATCCTTTTGGTCAATTAAAATTAGTTGACCGAAAATAAGGCTAAACATGTATGCCATCAAGAACACCCCGCAATCCAAGCTACTACAAGTTCAAATGTTTATAATATCAATATAACACTCTTGGCCCGTAATATATAGTTTCTATGTGTTAGCACATACGAAAAAACAACAACATATGAATAAGTCGAATACACTAACCCACGTTGTTGAGGTACGTCAACACTTTACGAAAAAACAACAACATATGAATAAGTCGAATACACTAACCCACGTTGTTGAGGTACGTCAACACTTTTTATCTCCTGACAAGAAGTAATGTCTAAATTCCAAGCATCAGGAATGGTAGAAATAAGCTTCACTCTAAAATCACTAGCATCGGACATATATCCACGAAGAAAAGAATAATGATAAAATCTTCTATCCTTTACGAAGAATACCACTGTCATATCCTCATCGGCTCCATCACTATCAAAATGGAGTAAAATGGGAGTATCTGCTTTTCCATATGTGAACAGTAAAAAAAAAGAACATTATAAACATGTTGGCAAGACTTTCCCACATGGGTTCATTCTCAAAAGAGATAAAATGTTTCATTATTTTCGAGTGTTGCTACGGGAACCCTAAATGAGGGGACCTTGTAGGGGACCGGTGAGGTGGCAAGTCCTCACTAGGTGCTGCACTGTTTATGAACAGTGCAGCATCCAGTGAGGGCTCGCCACCTCACTGTTCCCCAGAGGGTCCTTCATTTGGGTCGGCATTTTCCTTATTTTTCCTACCCCTCGTTCCGCCAGTCCACGCAAGTCCTTACGGAACCACCACCAACGGGACCAGAGAAATGCACAGGACAAGCTAATGCTCGACAAGACGTAGACCGTGAGAGGGGGGAGGAACACCCAACCCCATATCACATAGACTGAGCGGGAGGGAATATTCAATTCATTTCGAATTTCGATCGGATTCTCGAATTGTTCCTCTATCGTCCTCTTCTTCCTTGTTTCTGTTTTGCCTTTGATGCTGATGCAGAAAGGTGAAGTACCGGCGGTTCAGAATTCTGGTGATGGTGAGAATGTTTTGCCTTTGATGCTGATGCAGAAAGGTGAAGTACCGGCGGTTCAGAATTCTGGTGATGGTGAGAAATGTTTCGTAGAATTATGCTTCAATTGCGATTTTGACTCGCGCACAGCCGCTTGATTTCTTCGTGTTTTAGGTGATGTTTTTAATTGTAATCAAAGGTTATTTACAATCGTTGTGTTTGCTTGAATCTTATTCGCTAGCCCCATAAACCCTAATTGGAGAGTACTGGCTATTGATTCTTGTCATTTAACACGGGATCAAAATTTCAAATCTGCTTACTCAAAATCAAATAAAAAAAATAAAAAACATAATCTTGGTTCAACTTAAATGAAATTAGACATCATATATTCAAATGCAAGAAATATCTTGTGGTAGGAATAATACGAGCGGAAAAAAATCATTTGGAGATTCATACCTGTTCATTCATTTGATTAGCTAGATTCAGATCATGTTTATTTTTCGTCGTCATGGTTGCATTGGCTTATTTTATAACGCGCAATGCAACCATTTCAGCTTCTGAGAAATCTTTCGTAGAAATATCTGGTGGTGTACTCTTTTGTTTATTGCTTCATTTCAGCTTCTGAGACATCTTTCTGTATGAATTTCTATAAGCAACTTCTTGGAAATGTTAGAAACAAAGAAGATATAGCAGCTTTATGGGAATGCCTGAGCCCCAATCGCAAAGTAGTGCATTGGAAATTATTGAAGCACTTTGTTTTGTCCGAAGGAATTGTCTTTATAAGAAGCTCTAGGTTTTTTCTTGCATTTTTGGTAGTGATATTATTGTATTAAGCTCAAGATTCCAAGACACTCTTTAGATAGAAGCTAAGTTGCATGGAAACGGGTATGGCCATACGGGTACCGTTACAGGTACGGGTGGTAGGGTACTGGGATATGGCTATATAAATATTTATATACACATACATATATTACATATTGAAATTAATAATTTACATGAGAATAAAGGTCAGGAAATTGGAGTTAACATCCTAGGATGGAGTATGATGGGAGCTTATGTGCCGTCAACAGTTATTTGACTTCACTTATTGTGTGGAATTATAACATCAAAGCTCACCATCTGAGGTATTTTCTTCCTCTGGTTCCTCGTCTTTGGAACCCTCACAATTTTTAAGCATATGACAGGGTTTAGCAAGAGCTAAGCCTTAACACGAGTATAATCCTTGTTGATAATTGCAATCTAAGTATTTGTTTACGCACTGGAAATCCAAGATCCCCTCTAAGAATTGGAAGATTGTCAAAAGCCCACAACCCCGCATAATGCAAATAGCTCACCAAACAACAATATCAATATCATTAGCTGCTTCACTATACAAAGGCTTACAACCTGGTCTCCACCTTTTAACTTATTTCAGTCTTGGATGAATCTTAATTAACACTTCAAGGTTTCTGATTATATTTATAGAACTAGCGATTACGTAGGTCTTTAATAAGGTAAGTCGTAGACCTACTATTTTCAGAAAGAAGGCCTGCAGAAATGACCCAAATGCTAACAAATCAATTTAACACTTGGAGCTAGAAGATATGAAACTTTAAGGTTTTTATGAATTATGAATAATATAGAGCTCAGAACTCTGTACAAATAGAAGATTTATGGAAGAACAAGAAATAATCTTCTTTGAGTAGCTAATAGACATACTTAGAAGACTTGAGGGATGATTTTCCCAGGTATTTTATTTATTGTTCTGCAATTCCCATATCAATGAATATTCATAGTAGATAATATAGGTACTTATAAGATTTTCAGGTCCAGCTTTCAATATTCTTTTGTCTGTTTCTCTTTATAATTATTAGACACGAACAATTGTCATAATGTCAGACACAACAATTGTCCAAAATCTAGAAATAATTTGCACGGCTGTGTAAGTATATTTCTATTAGTATATATGTTTGACATATAAACTATATATTTGTGGTATCAAACCTAATTTTAATAAAGTCATCAATAGAATAGCCTGCTGTGTCAAATGGATCACAATATACTCCATCTTATACATAATTTTGAAGTACATAACTGTTTACAAATTTTAAGTTTCAGAAATTGATGGATATTCGTTTCATTTCTACAAGTATCGGACACACCTTGTTTTGTTTAGCTGTTTACTACATGTCATAGATTTTTGTACGCTTCCTATATGATGAACAATTCATTAGTTTTAGGTACCATTTGGAAACACAGAGGCCACCTTTAAGATATAAAAAATCAAGTGCTCTCATGCATAATGATCGATGGAAGTTTGAGTTGCCAAATTTGGATGTATACATTGCCTGAAACTTGGGTTTTCTCATACATTAATATGAGAAAAATATATTAACCTTTTCCAATGTAAGAGACCAAATCTTGTAGGCATCTAACTTAGGGTGTAGCAGATATAAGGGTAGCCCTTTTGGCATTGAACATGACTTATACCATGTGAAAATGCTACCTATAAATTCGTTTGTATACGTTGCTAACTCAAGTTCATTAGCGTCTTGAACCCATTAAGATATAAGCCACTTGAGCATATTTTTTTATATGTTGGGTTTTATGCTCCTTATGACATCTTACCTCTTTTCACAAAATACATTAACCGATTTCCATTTATCTTGGCCTTGCATTGTTTGTGCTTTGTCATGCAGGATGTCACGTGGATGTCATCAAAACTAAAATTTGCGTTCACCATTTGCACTCACCTTATGGCATCTTACCTATATAATTTCCCACATAAAAAATGAATAGCCAATATGTTTTTCTTCTTTATTCATCTAATTTATTTAATTTTTTTCAATGATGTGTGGGTGGGTGCATGTGTATGCGTGCATGCGTGCGTGCTTGTACTAGATTATGAGAGATGAGCAACCAGTATAGGAAGTTCTCCACATGGGCCCTTAAAAAACCATGTGATGCGAAACGATGACAGGGGGTCTGTCGGAATCAGCGATCTAAATCGAATAACGCACCGTTTCGCCAAAAATGATGATCTTCGGCAGTAAATTAAATTCAAAACGATTAATATGACAGATGGATTTTAATAAGATATGCATCAATAATCATGAACAATTCCAATCTCAAACAATATAACCGTTGTATTCATTATCATTTCGTAAGTTCTAAAATCAATATCAGATCTGCAACAGTCACATGTTCAATTGCTCTCTACTCACAAGTATAATCTCAACAGTGAATATAAGATAAGAGTTTAGAGATAATATACTCATGTAATTAACTAACAAAATGAGATTAACAGAAAAATAAGGGACGAAAGAAAACGAAACCTATGTCGGTCTGAACAGAATCGACATAAGAGACCTCTAGAGGTGGTACGACGACAACGGTGAACTGAACGACGATGACGAGGCGGAGATCCGATGACGACGAGTGCGACGGAGTTGAAAAACGAGGCGGGCGTCGGCGAACTGGATGACGATGTGTGCGACGACGTCGAACTGGGCTATCAAGTGACGACGGGTCGACGGGTCGATGGGTGAACTGACGATGACAAACGGCGTCAACTGAGCGATGACCATGGCGTGTGAACTGACAACGACGAGGGCGACGATGAGGACGACGCATCGACTAGATGACGACGCAGACGATGGCGTCAAGCGGGAAGATAATGTTGACGATGGCGTCGAGCTGAACAGTGACGCGATCGACGACGTCGAGATGGTAGATGATGAAAACGGTGAGGACGCGAGTGGCTTGTTAGGTCGAGACTGGTGGTAGGTGTCGGGATGAGGTCGGCGGTGGCGTTGGGATGCTTGGGAGTGGAGAGTAGGGATTTCGGGGGCTACTCGGAGTAGGAGCGGTGACTGGTTGAGAGGAGTAGGAGCGGTGACTGGTTGAGAGGGATGAAGAAGAGTTGGGAGCTGGGTTTGAAAATTGTTGACGTGGGGGAGAGAAGAAATTTGGCCGTTGTGTATGAGGAGAAAGAAGGTTTGTTGGCTGTTTGTGGCAGAGGAGAACAATTTGGCCTAGGGTTTCACACCCAAGGCTTCACACCAAAATTTAGTTAACAAATATTTCTTCATTCAATAATTCATTGCCTTTCAATAGTCTCATACAACCTTATTTATAAAAAAAAACTATGTGCACACGACGTGCAATAAAAAATAGAAACAAAACAATAATCTCTCAAATCACTCAACTAAATTTCAAAATTCAAAATTCAAAATTCAAATTTCAAAAAAAAAAAAAAAAAAAAAAATCAACTAATCAAATATGGAAATTGCCATTTCTTGTCCTCATCACCATGTACTCTAGGATGATTTACAGAATCCTCTACTGATTTGATTTGATTTGTGGTTATCAATTGATGAGATTTGAGTTACTTACTTTTTAGCATTTATTTATCAGTTACATAGTTGGAATTTAATTTTTTTTAAGGAACTGACATTGAAAAACTATTTGGCTTAATTTTAGCAACCGCATTAAGTTGTGTTCCTGCAATTGATTACTTGATTGAAGGAGCACTTCTTTAGCTTCTCTTATTGCGGGTGTTACCCCTTGTCTTCTTAAAGGGAGTGATCCCATATATTTTAATTTTCTTCTAGAGGGTTTTCAATTGTATCATGTGTTGCACTTTACACAGGGGACACAAATCAAATCCTGTACAAATGTATTTATATTTGATTTATTTAACATTTCCAAATTTAAATTTTAATTCAAATTTGCACCTCTCCAATTTTTGTTAGAATTTGCTTCTCCAAATATCATTCATATTTTCTTTATGCACTAAACATATTTGTTTCAAATTTTAAAATATTCAAATAGTTCAGAAGTCATTTTATTTAAGAGTAATTTCGTTTGAGTAAAAACATCATTTAGTGTTCCAAATAGTTCATTCAATTATTCAATTACAAAATTATTTGGTAGCGATATGTTTCATGAACACACAATTTCATATTGAAAATTTGATTGAAGAGTTTGATTTGTGTCTTGTGAATTATTCTTTTTATCAATCCTATTTACATTATACATATTTGTATGCACAAGAAAAACAAGCCCTCATGGATTTGTTTATTAAATAAAAATCGGATGGGAAATAGTGGTAAATGCATATATGCTAAATAAATATTTAATAATTAAATGATTGAAGTCTAATTCATATTTTGGTTGTTTGGTTAGAAAATACTAAACCATGTTGATTTTGCTTAAACAACTATTTGAATGGAATTAGAGTGAATACTTATTTTAAAATAGTTAAGTACAAGGTGAATACCTATCAACTTGTTTTAAAATTACCTAAGCAAATGCACTTTTACTTGCGTGTAAAGATTAGGATGTTTTAGTATTATATGTCCTTCTAATCTTCACTAACTTTTCAAGTTTAACTACAAGCAGCTTACAAGAAATAATTAAAGTTGGACTTCCATTTGGAGGCTTCAGATTCCCTTGAAGTGTCATTGTGTCCTCCCTTTCTTCTAGAGTTGTGCAAGGTTCTTTTGGACTAATACCTCCGAGCAATTCCTTGAATTCCTAGCCAAAATATTTTGCAGAGTCCTGCTCATTAAATTGTAAAGCAACTCCTTTGTATAATAACTTCTTCCTTCTGATCAAAGTTGGAGGGGCTCCTTAATTCTCATCTCTAGCATGTTTTTTTCTATAATCAATGACCTTTATCTTGACCAAATAACAACTCCAGAACTCATCAGTCAAACATTCCATATATGATGTTGAAAAATCAGATTTAGCTATGCCTAGGAATTAATAAGCCAACCAAGAATGCCCTGTTGTCTCATGCAACCCACTCCTGATATGCGGCCATTGTTAATGATTTTTAACAATCACTGCTGAATGCTGATATCCATGTAATGGTCTCCTGATCTTCTCATATGCCACCACTGTAGACATTTGGTTAGGAGCCATTTCACATTTGGTTAAGACCTAGGTGGTCTGCATAGGTACCGCCTAGGCCTAGGCTGGCCTTTAGGAGGGCTAGACTCCTGCCTTTTTAAAACATTGTATTTTTATCATGGCACATGACCTTTTCCAGGGTATTCATAGTGAGATGATAGTATTTATTTTTAGACATCTTTAAAAAAAATTATCCCAATAAGAGTTCGGAGTCTTTGCTTTTGACTTCTATGGATCTTCTTCTGAAGAGGGATACTATGTAATTTGTCCTTTTTCTTGTGATTTCCTTGTGTTGTTTTATTGTTTAATTTTCTGTAGCTAATGTCATATCATCAAATCCTGCCATAACCTTGCTTTGGACCATTTGGTAAGAAAACCAGTCTCAACTTGATGTATTATGTTTAATTATCTGCATCTTAGTAACAATATGAAAATTGTTACTGTACAATTTTCATCAATCAAATGGGCAATTAGCAAGACACATATTTTAAAATCATTATGGTTAGGTGTCATACTATGACTTCTTCTGTTATGTATGCTGTCGACCATTTAGCAAGATCCAACAATATCTTTGTTCATATGTACAGTTCACTATTGCCACTGTTTTGCATGTTCATCAGACTAGAAGACAATTCTTCAATAAGCAAGAATCTTTCTACTCCATGGGCATGGCAGCTGTGTGTGTAGCTTTTCCTTTTTTTCTTTTTCTTTTTTTTTTCTTTTTTGTTTTTTCTTTCTGTTTTTTTTTGGGGGGTGGGGGTGCTGTTTTGCATGTTCATCAGACTAGAAGACAATTCTTCAATAAGCAAGAATCTTTCTACTCCATGGGCATGGCAGCTGTGTGTGTAGCTTTTCCTTTTTTTCTTTTTCTTTTTTTTTTCTTTTTTGTTTTTTCTTTCTGTTTTTTTTTGGGGGGTGGGGGTGTTTATCAATCCTATTTACATTATACATATTTGTATGCACAAGAAAAACAAGCCCTCATGGATTTGTTTATTAAATAAAAATCGGATGGGAAATAGTGGTAAATGCATATATGCTAAATAAATATTTAATAATTAAATGATTGAAGTCTAATTCATATTTTGGTTGTTTGGTTAGAAAATACTAAACCATGTTGATTTTGCTTAAACAACTATTTGAATGGAATTAGAGTGAATACTTATTTTAAAATAGTTAAGTACAAGGTGAATACCTATCAACTTGTTTTAAAATTACCTAAGCAAATGCACTTTTACTTGCGTGTAAAGATTAGGATGTTTTAGTATTATATGTCCTTCTAATCTTCACTAACTTTTCAAGTTTAACTACAAGCAGCTTACAAGAAATAATTAAAGTTGGACTTCCATTTGGAGGCTTCAGATTCCCTTGAAGTGTCATTGTGTCCTCCCTTTCTTCTAGAGTTGTGCAAGGTTCTTTTGGACTAATACCTCCGAGCAATTCCTTGAATTCCTAGCCAAAATATTTTGCAGAGTCCTGCTCATTAAATTGTAAAGCAACTCCTTTGTATAATAACTTCTTCCTTCTGATCAAAGTTGGAGGGGCTCCTTAATTCTCATCTCTAGCATGTTTTTTTCTATAATCAATGACCTTTATCTTGACCAAATAACAACTCCAGAACTCATCAGTCAAACATTCCATATATGATGTTGAAAAATCAGATTTAGCTATGCCTAGGAATTAATAAGCCAACCAAGAATGCCCTGTTGTCTCATGCAACCCACTCCTGATATGCGGCCATTGTTAATGATTTTTAACAATCACTGCTGAATGCTGATATCCATGTAATGGTCTCCTGATCTTCTCATATGCCACCACTGTAGACATTTGGTTAGGAGCCATTTCACATTTGGTTAAGACCTAGGTGGTCTGCATAGGTACCGCCTAGGCCTAGGCTGGCCTTTAGGAGGGCTAGACTCCTGCCTTTTTAAAACATTGTATTTTTATCATGGCACATGACCTTTTCCAGGGTATTCATAGTGAGATGATAGTATTTATTTTTAGACATCTTTAAAAAAAATTATCCCAATAAGAGTTCGGAGTCTTTGCTTTTGACTTCTATGGATCTTCTTCTGAAGAGGGATACTATGTAATTTGTCCTTTTTCTTGTGATTTCCTTGTGTTGTTTTATTGTTTAATTTTCTGTAGCTAATGTCATATCATCAAATCCTGCCATAACCTTGCTTTGGACCATTTGGTAAGAAAACCAGTCTCAACTTGATGTATTATGTTTAATTATCTGCATCTTAGTAACAATATGAAAATTGTTACTGTACAATTTTCATCAATCAAATGGGCAATTAGCAAGACACATATTTTAAAATCATTATGGTTAGGTGTCATACTATGACTTCTTCTGTTATGTATGCTGTCGACCATTTAGCAAGATCCAACAATATCTTTGTTCATATGTACAGTTCACTATTGCCACTGTTTTGCATGTTCATCAGACTAGAAGACAATTCTTCAATAAGCAAGAATCTTTCTACTCCATGGGCATGGCAGCTGTGTGTGTAGCTTTTCCTTTTTTTCTTTTTCTTTTTTTTTTCTTTTTTGGTATCATATTATTCTATTTGCTTACATATAATCTGATAATCTTAATCTATGTTAGGAAACGTAGTGGTATCATATTATTCTATTTGCTTACATATAATCTGATAATCTTAATCTATGTTAGGAATAATTATGAAAAGAATTAATATTGATGTTAGTGTCTGAGATGTTTTCTTCTTTATTTGGGTAATGGTGTCTGAGCTGCATCTGTGCAGTCTTTTAGCTGCTTATCTTTGCATTTAACACCCTCCCAAATACCAAGGTCTATGCTTGTAATTTGCATTTCACATTTTTGAATTTGAAAATAAAGTCACTAATTAAATCGTTCCTTCATCTTCATAACCAAATAATTACTTCACATCCATAAATGAAATTCTCAGAATCATCTTCAAAGTATCAAATAGGTTTTCACAATACCTGGTTTACTTTGTCTTTATGAAACCATATATAACAGTTGGTATTCCTCTTGATCTTATTCAGTTATAAAATATAAGCTCTTAGTATCATGATTTTTGAAGGCTTCCCTCTGGCATTGTTGTTGGAAAATCATGTGAAACTCCTGGACTTCGTAATCATCTTAATTTAATTGAAGTCTGCTGTGAAATAAGATGTTTCTTGATTAGAACTGTTTAATGAAGCATTTATTATAATTCATTATCAAAAAAAGATTACCCTAGGTTTGGAGCTTCTGACGGCGATCTTTCTGTTTGTTGCTGTGGTGGGCTTAGTTCAAGGTGAACAGGCACTTCTCCGTCCTCAGTTGTACTATCATCATTTGAAACATGTGAGCCACTGGTAACTCTACCATTGCTCCCTCTTTGTTCATAAGCCTGAGTTGACCAAGATTATCTTCTTAGACCATAATCGTTTTCAACAAAAATTAAAATCGTTTGGTCTGATTCTTTTTCCCCCTTTTATTCCATAAAGATATGTTATCATTTTCTGTTCCTTACCTTCTTATGTAATTCCATGTTTTCTTCACGAATAAGATTCATCTTCTTGTAAAGTTCCATATTTTCTTGGTGAATGAAATTTCCCTGCGATGAAACTGGTAAAGTCAGACCTTAATAGTACATTTGCTGCTAATAGGTGGATTGTTCTTTTGTTCATACCTTCCGATTTAATTCCTGGATTTCATCCATCATGATTTGGTCCTATAAGATTAGGAACTGAATTTATTAGTGACTGTACGTGGTGAAAATTAGTAAGGGAATAGTTCTGTGTCACATACCTTCTTCATCCGGATGCCACGTAAACTTAATTCTAGTTGATTTTCTAAATTTTGCAGATCTTTGACACTCAAGCCAGATAGATCCTGTCCCATCAACTGCCTGTCATAATGAAAGAAATATTTGGTAATGCAAATTTGCATGATAGGCATATTAATATTGTACTAATTTGTTTCTTTCTATTTGGTAATGCAAATTTGCATGAATATACACTGTATTTAATAGTGTACTACATGTTTCTTTCATTGAACTTTGATTCGTTTTATTACGCATGAAAACTAACAGGTTTATTCATAGGTAGTATTTTTTATCTCCCATTGTTTCAAATTACTGCTTAGTGATGAAATGCTGAACTTGGTGCATGCTTGATGTGAGGACAAGTTATCAATAGCTTTTTGATCGTGATCCTTTTGATCTCTAGATATAAGTCAAATTCTCATGATATCTCTTGAAATTCACTTAACTTGCACACTTAAACATTTTCTGCCTTGTCAGACTCACATGTTTATATCTTTTGCTACCTATAAAGTATCCCATTACACATCTCTGATGCAAGGTTTTAAATATCGGTCGATGATCCGATATTATCCCCGAGTTATTAGTTTTGGGAGTTTTCCGATAGGATAAGTTGGAATTTAAATTAGTTATCGTTTTTTGGGGTTTATCGGTGATAAAGGTGATTATCGGCCAATATTAGCGGCTCTAAAAAACGAAATCATCGGGCCACACTTTTGGGTTGTGATTTTGGGCAATAGGCAGTTTTTGAGTGAACTTGAAACCCGACCTGACCCATTCTTTACAATAAACTTAAACCTTGTAGCCATAATCCTTTGTTCTCTCCCCCCTCATTTGTGTGGCTGGGCCCATTGCCCTAATCCTCTAATCTCCATTTCTCTTTGACTCAGTCAACCTTGACGCTTGCCTCCGCCGACTTCGATGCTCGCCTCCACTCCTCTTTGAACTCCACTGACCTCAACACTATTGACTTCGACCATTTGACGCTACTCTCTCATAAACGCTAACTTCATCAACTCGACGACTTTGACCAATGCTAAGCTCTCGCCATCGACGTCATCATCAACTGATCGATTTGATGATGTCGATCGACGCTGAGCTCTCCATCGACGCTAAGCTCTCTCCATTGAAACCATCATCAAGTGTGACTTTGACAGTTCGACTTGGACTCTCCATCGACACCACGCCCTCACACAACTTCAGAAGTTGTTACAACAGGTAATATTCACTATTTAGTTGGTTTTTTCTTTGGTTATTTAGTGAAGTTTGAGAGAATGAAAGAGGGGAGTATGGTTAGATCACAATTTGGGGTATTATATTATATATATACATCATACGATATTATCATTCCGATAAATACTACTTATCCCTGATATATCCCCAATTTTCGCTATCCGATAAGAATTTTGGCCATCCGATAAATCCCCATTAACTAATATTCAAGGTTTTAAATGTCGGCCGACATGTCTGTCGATCAACATGTTGGTTTGAGGGCTTGAGTGACACGACATGAGCGTTTTCAACTCGTATGTCGGTTTTCAGGGCCAAATCGAAAATATCGAGGCCATATCATGCATATCGACCGATTTTTCATCTTTGAAAAAAGGCCGATATGACCTTTTTAGATCTATTTTTTGTTATTGGGTTTGGGTTTAGTGATTAAAACCCAAACTCGTTTAACCCGTTCTCATGTTTAAAGGTTTCTTATGAGCCCGATAGAAAGAGAAGAGAAAAATGAGGACTGCAGCGGATTTGGGAACACCATCACTCCTTTCGTGAATGACGACACCCTTCTTCCAACTCCATCTCAGCCCCCCCGTCGTCCATCCCCCCTTGCGCCCCGAAATTCGAATCCTAACCAAACTCGAGGGCGTCAGGGTATCCCATCGTCGGGATAAAGAGAAGAGGGTGGTCGGTGACTCATCCGAAGGACCCCGAGCAGACAAAGAAGAAGAAGAAGAGATCCGGCACTACCTCCCTGCGACGTCGGATTCCACCCATCGTCAACACCGCATCTAGATTTTATAAAATATGCTTATATTGAATTTAGGAATACTTAGATTACATTTAGGACATGATATTATACATATGCGCACCACCCGATATGGCAATCCGATATTTAGTCAATGTCCCCCGATATATCCCCGATTTTCGCTATCCGATATGGATTTTAGCCGTCCAACATGAACCCGACATCCGACATTTAAAACCTTGTTAATATTTAAAACCTTGCTTGATGTCATGTCCCTGTATGAAGGTGAAATGGAGATTTTTCACTCTCCAATTGAAATATGACCTCTTGAAGTCTTCCCTCTGATCCTTCCTTTTAGTTCTCCTGTCCCTCCTCATTAATCCTAACCCTATAAAGTTTGAGCATCACCTCCTTTCTCCACTACCACTGTAGACATCACAACTACACCATCCTCACTCACTATCACATCTCCATTAAGATTGTCAGCCTGCCTTCCACTTTTTCAAAACTTCCTCCCTCCTGTCATTATGTCCAGCAGAACCAACACTGCTACATGTATTTACCGCCTAAACCCATTTTTATTATCACCGTATACACCATCAATGTCTTCCACCACCCCTGACCTCCTATATAATGAACACATACACCTGTAATCTCCTTCATTTTCAAAGTCAACCATGCCATATCCTGATTTACCATCATCTTCTCCAGCACGAACTCCATTTTAGTAGAATCTTATTTTAGTTCAACTTATTGGGTTCAGAGTTCTGTTCTAAGAGTTTTTATCGCATACAGGGAGACCAAGGTGTCAAAATCATGTATTTTCCATAGTCTGGAGGCACCAAAAGATGTGATATCTTGAGTGAAATGGGAACATTTTGAAAATATTGCTAAACATGTTCACAAACGCTCAGTAACTCAGTATTACATAATACATAATAGTTCATTTAAACAATTGACAGGTATATTAAAGTGAATACATAAAGCACATAAAGTGCGTCTAAAGGATAACATTTACATGTAGAGCTCAAAGAAGCAAGCATATGAATAAGATCTAATGGTTTTCTTTCTTTCTTTCTTTCTTTCTTTTGGACATTAGCCGTTACCCTTTCATACCCATAATCCAACCATTACCCTTATGTACCTATAACCCACCCTTACAGTCTTTGAAAAATAAAATTGCTTGATCATTCACTTTGTTCTATTTTTTCAGTTTCTATTGGACTAAACCATTCCGTGCCGAAAAGCTAATCAACTAGCTGTTTTATGTTGACTATTATTTTGAAGTTGGTAATCGAGGGCGCTGAAGATTATACAGTAGGCAAGGTTGTAAACTAATCAGATTAAGCCATTGGCTGTGATCAATTTTAATCATGATAATTATGTAAGCCAGTTGTCAATCGTTTGCTATTATTTTCTATTATCAGAAGGATATCTGACAATTGCTAGTTTACATTAAATAGAAAGAAGAATAGTACCGGTGGTGTTCTTGTAAGCTCTGAAGCTGCTGTCTCAAGCTCGCTGCCTCCCTCTGCCAGAACTAATGAGTAAAGAGAACACCATTTAGTCTGAAATATTAGCCTATTACTATGGTAGATATAATAATAATTGAATAGTGAAACATTAATTGACCGTTAATATTATCAGAAGTATCAAATACTTTAAGTAATGCTTTATCGGCAGCTACCAAAAATTAGAGTTTTACTGAACATTCCAGAATTTGTAAAACAAATTTAGACAAGTTCCTATGAAATATAGATTCAAGAGCTTATATCTTAATATCTATACAAATTCTTCCCTGTTTCCTTATTGTGTGAACTTACTCTTCTCAACCACTGTTTCAGTCTTTCTGATTGCAAGCCTTCTGTACAGTGAAGCTTGTTTAGCAGGATCATCTTCTCCTATTCAGCAGATCATTTTCTGTATTAAGCTGAAATATCTGTTGTTTAAGTAAATTTTTAGGTATTATTATTATTTTAACATTCTAAAAGGATTTCCTTTGATCTAACTTGCTGATAATTGGTGTCAAAATAGCGTTTTCTTTCCTCCTCGTAAATTAGTGGCATTTCATGTTCAAAAAATTGCAGTTGACTGAAATTAAAAAGTAGATATTATGATCATGCACGAGAAGGTATATTCAAGCAACTTGATGAAAACAACATCAGCTGCTCAGGCGAGAAATAAGGAAAAAAATTTATCTGATGTTCTGTTGGAAAAATCTATCCTTTGTATTTTGTCATATAGTGGAAGTACCCTAGTAAGGTCAAATTGAGGTTTCAATTAAGTAGAAATAAGGGGGAAATTTAAGCCCAAATAGAGTTAATATGTGAATCGTGATTAATATATATCAAGATAAAATTGGATCCAAGCTCTATTAGGGTATTTCTTATATTTATGTTTAACTATTTTCAGATTTGGCCTGTCAACTTCTCCTCATTTGTGTCTGAGTCGATATTTTCATCCAGTAAGTCAGCAAGTAAGAAATTAAGTCGAACTTTTCTGCAACAAAAATGTGAATAGAAAACAAACACAGACTCTTGCATGACTCCACCTGTTGCTAGTTTTTTGGATTGCGAGTTTGAGGTTGTACAGTGTTGTAAAAAGTGGAATAAAGTGCTCAAAAAAGCAGAAACACCTTGCCACTTTGCTAAGACCGTAAGCGGGCTCGACTGCATTTGTCTTGCAACTGTGAGCCAAAAGTTCTTTCAAGATGAAAATAGTAGGGCTGAGCGTATTCGGTTCGGTTCGGTTTTAAGCCCAATCCGCATCCAATCCGAATTTTTCGGATTCTCAAAACTCTCATCCAGATCTAGATTTTTTCCCCTTCATCTGAATATTCGGCCCAACCGAAATTCGGTTCGGTTCGGTTTCGGTTTTGAACCGAATTAACTCCATTTCACAAAAATCTGGGTAAGTTTTAGTTATATCCAAAACCGAAAAGAAGCAATCAAAACTGAAAAGAAACAATCAAAACTGTACTAAGCCACTTAATCAAATTGTATGATCTGAATATAACTAGCTTAATACATTAGGAGGACCATGTAATTATGTAGCCTTTTTTAGAGAAAGAACAATGTTTGGCAGGCACACACACCTTTTGATGATTTTCGTTAATTTTTAGCTGCCTTTTTCTCATCAAGAATTATCTTATATCCTTGACAGCCTATACTATAGGTTAATTTGATATCCAGCACCAGCAAGCTGTATTCATGTTATCACTGAAATTTGACCAAAACACTAAATTTATCCTTCAACCTCAACATCTTGTATTGATTTACGGAAATCTCACTTAACTATATCAGCGTACTCAAATATATGTTAGTATGAACTCCACCCCACAATTCTTAAATGCTAAACATTCAGCCATAAATTTTCTTCACACCCAAGGCTCGCAGCTACTTTTTGTTTAAGAATTCGGTTCGGTCTTTTTTGGGCGGTTCAGGGGTTCAAACCGGATCCAGACCGGTTTAATTCGGTTCGGGCGGTTTAGAGACTTCTTCTCATCCATTTAATTCGGTTCGGTTAACCGATCCGTTTTTTCAGACGGTTTTTTCGGTTGAACCGGTTTGTTTCAGTTTTTGCCCACCCCTAGAAAATAGCCAAAAAGAGGTCAAAAGCAGTTAAAATGCAGCCAAAAAACAGTTGAAAGGCAACCAAAACCAACCTCAAAACAACCCAAAGCGCTAGTCTTAAGTGGTTGGACTACTTTTGGTGTGTCTTTTTTTCCCGCCATGTTTACATGATTTCCCCCCCTTTTTTTTTCCTCCAAAAGAGTCTGCTTGAAGTTTGGAAGAAACATAGAGCAATATAGTGATGATGTAATTAATAGTTATATTTTCTTCTTGATAATTTGCATTAACTGATTAACCTGTTGACAATTTTATGTGTGTATCAAATGAATTTTTTTATATGAAAATGACATGTAAGTTTGTTACATTACAATGTGCATATTATTTGACAATATTGCGTGATTTAACATAATTATTGTTAAACATCTATTTCATGATTAGGAACTCTATAACTAATCACATATGTATTTGTAGAATTTTTCTCCACTGTTGCTCGTATTTATAATTTTCAGATTTTCGCTTTTTTTTAAAAAACTGTTGCCCTATCTGAAATTTAAAAATAAAAATAAAAAATTTACTGAGCTTTCTTTTTTTCTTTTCGCATAAGCACCTTTTAAGCCCCAAAAAGCCTAAGTGACATCTTGCGACGTTGCTTCGCTTTCCACAACCTTGAGGTAGAAAATTTCATTTGATCAGATTTACCACCATGTTTTACATGGATTGGCCTCATTTTTGAAGGGAATCTTACAAGACAATCTTAAATATGTCAAGGATGTTCAAGAACAGTAGTATGATTGTTTTAGAAGGTTTATGCCAGTCAAAGTCAGATCTTTGTACTGGAATTTTATGTATGCATGGATACTGAAGGCTAAGGAGGAATTATAGTATGGAAGGTGGATAGGTGAAAGTGAAACTAATGAAACATGTGTTGACTTTCCATATAGTTGGTTTGTCAGGATGATAAAACAAGGAGACATATTTAATCAATTATATAAAATTAGGGATACTCAGTTTCCAATGATTGTGTAGTCAAGCTATTAATTCCTCTTTAAGTCAGATGTATTGGATCTTTGCTCTGGTATGGCAAGTCTACTATTTAGTGTGCTAGAAATGTATATTATCATTATATGGAAATACCTTCAGAAATTTGCTTTTCTTGGTTTTTATAGCTCCATTGTCTATCATCATTTGCATTGCAAATAAAATGCTAATAATAAAATATACCCATTAAAAGTTCCACTGTATACTCGTGGTTTTCTCTCATGCATTGGGAGAACCTAAGAAATGGCGCTGATTTGGGTAGTGTTTTTTCTTCTCCTAGTCTCTTTCTGTTCCTCTCTCTACATTCTGAAGCGTTTTTACTTGTTTAAACTTATATTGTTATAACAAAGAAGTATGTTTAATGCGCGGATAGATAAAGTCAAGTACTTTCTATTTTTTCCTGCTGTTTATATTGTATAGATTATTTTATTTTTTAATATGGTTATTGAGTGAGGCTTGAATATGACGTGTTGTAAAAGTGCATTATTTTGTGTTAGATACATTTACGGTGATGGAAACATTGTAAAAAGTCTGAACATGAAGTATATACCTTAACCTCTGAGTTTGAATTGGCTTCTAGTTGTTGCTGATCATCTTTCGTCTTGTTATATCTGTCAATCACCGACTTCATACTGAAATTAAAAAAACATGTCAGTAAATCAATATGAGGACAAGCATATCATTTATATTATATGTTGTACGTTTGTGCATATGTATGTATATGTATGACTTATATGTGCATGTGTTCATGCATGAGTTCACATATGGTTTATGTACATGTATACAAACATGAGTTGTGTTCTTTCATGTACATGTGGGCTGCTTGCACGCATGCTAGTATGTATGAGATTATATATTCTGAAAGACTACAAAAACAATAGTTCTATCACCACACATCTTGAATTGGTTTCAAAACAGAGTAAAATGAATAACAGTGATATAACAGAATATTTTAAGCATATGTGAATATTTGCAGATGTAAACTCTAGTTCACCAATCATGGTGAGCCATTAGCTTGATCTATAATTAGGCATTCATTCTATGTGAGGAACATTTAATATGTATTTGGCTTTGTAATAAGTTGATCTCAAAAAGCTGTATTGTAAATGTTCTTTTTAGTTTCCCCTAGCAATTAATGACTCAGCTAATGGCAAAAACTGAGAGAGTAGAAAGGTGACTGTCTGTTTTTTTGTTAATAGTCATAGATAACACATGGTGGTATAGTAAGTTCTCCCGCAAGAGACTTTTTATTTTGTTTTTTTGAGAGAATATTAGAAAATTTTCAAATTCACTGGGGCTGGACCTGTGTTTCATTATTAACTCTGGATTCTGTGTCTTTATATCATTGCTGTAACTGGTGTAAAAAGCAGTCTAGGTGTCCGCCTAGATGGAGGTTGTAGGTGGGCCACCTAATGAAGCACTTAGGGTGCCTAAGAGGCATGAACCGCTTAAATGGGCTGCATTGCTTTGAAAAAGATATGTGCCAGTATGTGAGGAAAATGAATCATAACAAAACGGATTGAGTCAATATCCGATGGCCAAATCCAAATTAGAGAAAAAACTACCGTCAGAATTTTGCATCCCCGAATAGACTTTTCAATTTCTCATCTTCATAGTTTTGTTTTACAGTAGTGCTCAGAATTTTTGTGATCATTTTCATCTTCCTCTCTTTTACAATCTTGCTTAGAATTTCCATGATCATTTTCATCTTCCTATCTATTTCTTCAGTTCTTTCTCTTGTTCTTCTCCTATTTCTCTCACTGTGGCAGCCACTTAGACATCTGGTGCCAGGTCCAGCACCTAGAAGTTTCAAGGCCTTCTAACATTCTAAGATTTTGGAGTGATTAAACATATGTTCTTGTTATTGGACAAAGATACCTTCCAGATTTTACATATATAATTAGAGACTACAATCTTTTCTTATCGAGTGTTCTTTGGTTTCATTAAGAAGAAAACAAAAACTTCTACCCCTTAAAACCAAACCTTAATAATCAAGAACTAAGCTCTCTAATGCCTGGTTCTGAATTAACTCACAATTTTGCACTTGAAACTGTGCCCCTTGAAATCGGACCTTAAGAAAAAAGCTCCTTAATTCATTTACTGTTTGCTTAAGTCATGTATTCATCTTCTACCATATGATTGTCATGCTATTTGGTCCAGTTTGAATTAAAAAAAAAAACCCTGCTTTTGTGCACCGTTCATGCATTCTGGACAGGATTAACCTTGCAGGCTCAATTTTTGCATTGCTGGATATTGACCTCTTGTTCCTTCAAAGAGGAAGCTTAAAGCCATCATTGGCGTTAACTATCGGAGGTGATTAAAGACAGAAAGGATGACATTTTGCTGAAGGTGGAATGCACTAGCTGGACCAGCAGTGCAAAGCCTACAACAGCAGGACATGCCCATGATCCCAAACCTGCTTAACCAAGGAACCAAAGGTGGTAAGATATATCTCCAATTTTCTTCTTGTGGAATTAGTGGGGAAGCATTAGATGAGCATTTCTGTGTGGATTGTTTCAAGTTTGAACCATTGACCAATAACAATATGTATAATCCCATATCGTATCATATTTTTACAAACTCAATTGAAACCGGATATTGTCCAGTGTCCTACTAACTAGTACAGATTAATATTGACTAATAAGGATTAAGCATAAGAAAGTTTATGATATGAAATATAGAGAAAATTGATTTAATAGTACTTTAACGGGGATTTTTTTTGAATCAATGAAGATAAAGCTTGTGAGTATAATATATTATTCTAGGTGTTAGTAATTTCGATACAAAATGTCAAAACCACTAAAGTTTTAATAATAAAACTGACAAAAAAAAAACAAAAACTACGGCCAATTCCAAGATTTCAAATCTTGGATCCTAGGCTTTTCTTAAGAATTAGTAGCTTACGTAATCATGTGTATCCATGTACTCTTTTGGGCTTATATTAGTCTTTACCATCTTCACTCCTATAAAGTTTTTAGTGTAATCAGAATGTTCAGGGTTTAGCATGAGCTTAAACTTCAACAAACATGGTTGGTTATTTTCCCTACTTAACTAGACAAGTATGATATGTATTATAAGCCACTCCCAAACAGTTACCGTGGCTAGGATCTGGGCACCAAAACTCATTTTGTGGATGTCTAATTGACACGGTTGTAAAACATTGTCAATAATTCATAATCTTTTCCTGTAGTACTATTCTCCATGGTTGAGTATAGTTTTATTGGATGTTGATACTTCTGGAAATGCCACTATCAGTCTTCTACCTACAAGAAATTATTTCTATATTTAAGTTCTTAAGATTAATCCTCGTATCTTGTACGACAAGGATCATGAATTTATTTTTTTCCTTGTATGTCTGATGTTGTTAGATGATAAACTCAGTTGGTAAACTGACTCACTTTTGACATCAAGCCGATTCATACGCTCATCCCTACATATCTGAATTAGTATTGAAACATAGCATGCTTTAAACTGTTCTAATATTTTAGGATATGCAGATTGACTTTCATTGTTCTCGGATTTTGATTCATTTGCTTTTAATTGTTTGACCTGCATATGCTTGCAATGAAGCATGTACCAACTTTTGCAGTGTCTATATTAGCACAGTGATCTGTTAACACGAAATTGAAATTTGATTGTCACATGGATTTAGTTGGATTATGACGGACATGTAAGTGTATGAATCATGAAAACATAGTTAGGTCTTTGCTTCTTGAGGAACCGCCTACCTCCTTTATGTTATCTCTTACTTACAGGGCTCTACTCTTTCAGATGATATAGTTAATTCTTTTTTATTCACTTACAAGTATATGACCTTATTTGAATCTTGTTTCTCAATATATAGGTGTCAGAGTTATCTTTCCCCCAAAATTGTAGCATTTTTTGCATACGTATCTATTTTTTATTTAATCCTAATAAGCTTCCTTATCTTGAAAAGAATTTGTAATTTATTAGTGGTTCTTGATAAGGGGAGTGTCTAGCTTTGTGACTTTGTGCAAATTAGTTTATGTACTTGTGCAAATTAGTTTATGTATTCTGTTATCACCATAGAACTTGTAAAACTTCTTGGCTTGTCGTCATCGGTCTTAAAGTTCACCAACAAATCTCTGAAGTTGTGGTGAGGGTTATAATTTTATATCCTAACATGCCCCTGTAACCCTTTTTATGGGTTGAGACCTGGACTCATGCATTATTATTATTATTATTATTATTTCTAAATCCTATTAAATTCATAGCCAGTGGGACTTGAACCTGGCTTGCTCCGATACCAACTTAATGTCCTTGCGGATACACTACAACTCTGAAATTTTAAGGAGGGACGAGGGTTATAATTTTAATATCTAACAGAGAATACGAGCGACGCGAGGTTTCAATTTGATCATAAATAAGATCCTAGTGATGTGTCTTGATAATGATCCCTGTGCAGTCAATTTCCCCAATTTGATATCAGACCCCTAAATCTAGCAAAATGTATTTATTTATAAATTGACCCTTAATCCATTTCAATTATTTGAAATTAGAGCATGGTTTATATCCTTAAAGCCCTAAGTTATTTTAAAGTAGTCCTCCAATGTAATTTGTAAATATAATGAGTTGGAACTAGGGCTAACTGTTAGGGCTTGTATCAAAACACAGTAGAAATTAGTATCTGATCATGTTCGTAGATGTGCGTGATCCTACTTGGTGAGCTAAGGAAATTATAATGTATTGTAGTATAATTACAAGGTCTTTGAGACATCTGGTAACTAGAATGCAACTTGGGTTGTTTGAATCCTACTTGGGTATATGCATTTTGATCGAGCATTTTTCTGGCATAGATAAATTGGATCAAATTAGTTTTAATCCGTGGAAAAGTTGACTTGCAATTGGCCCTTAACCAATATGAGCTGGGCTGTATCTGGTCTGTAGTTGGTGCTCAACCACTATGATATCTTATGCATGAAAATGTATTACACAGATATATGACTTTTATATATAACAAATAAATATATATAGTCCCCTTAATTTAAATATAGTTCTCACTCTATTGTTATTATGCTTGGCATGATATTCATTTATGTCTTGGTTTCAATTTTTGATAAGCTGATCTAATTATTTGTTTATACCCAAGTCAAAACTGCCAGTCTGAGTTTGAAGAGGTTTGGTTATAGAGAACTGTTTGATATGAGGTATTAGCTTGTAATTTAAGCTGTACCTTATCTGAACTGTGTCTGATTTCCATACTTGTTATAAATGATTAAGAAGACTAATTGCCAAACCTTGGAAGTTCAAAATAGAACTGCAGAAATGAATGTCAGATAATGTTAGCTCAATACCAAGATGAGTGATAAAGTTATGCTGCTTAAGCATTTTCTGCGCTTAAGCATTTTCTGCAATAGGATTTGTCCACCAATTTTCACTTTACTTCCAATTTCTGTGTATAAGGTCTATCAGAGTGTGTTTTTGTTACTAAGTTTGTTCTTGTGGTGGGCAGCTCTACAGTATTTCTCCTCTTAAGTATAGTTGAAGGGAGCTACAAAGGCATCATGGGGATGCCCTTGTAAGCTGTAACCCTCCAGTTTGGAGAAAACTAGAGGAGGTGGCGATATAGATATTCCCTTGCAATTTTCTGGATTCAAGGAAAATCAGGAGGTAATTGAATCTGTTTATTTTTTCTGAAGATGTATCATAGTTAAACATGGATCGATTCTCATCAACAATTAGTTCTTTAGTCCAAGTGAAGTTTAAGTAGATTGTTGAGGAAGTCCAGTGGTCCTGGTCTATTGTGTTAATGGTGTCCAAACTGACAATTATCGTTCGATTAGTGTAGTAATTTCTAATTCCACTAATCCAGCAGTAGATATCATTTTTGATGCACTATTAAGGTTATGGGTTGGAGCCACTATTATATTCTTCAATCCTGGTGGGATTGCAAAGACCTGTGGTAAGCAGAGTTGGACTAAGGGGAAGATTTGAGGACCTTGAAGTAATTGGCTAAGGAAAGTTTGATTTCAAATTGATTGAAGTTGATGAAGTTTGCTTCCTACCCGATATCTGATGTAAACTTTCTGTTAATAAATCATTTTAATTCTAGGTTCACAGTTTGATTTGTTTTTGGATTCTGGAGACCAATTCATTGTTAATCTAGTTCAATCCCATATTAGCTTCATTTCAATTTCTTTATATAATCTGTGAGACTGTGAATTTTGTGTTTGATTAATTGATCTTGTTGTAGGTATAATAAATTTTAGGATTTGATGATGTTTCTATATTTTTGATTGATTCTTGAAGGTTTAGAGTGTATTTACCAATGTTTAGCTGAATTGTGGGTGAAATCAACTAGTTTAGCCCCATATCTTGAGATCCTTCATTTTTACGAACAATTGAAGAATTCATGTGTACATGTTGTGTATTCGTTTATCTATATTTGTATTAGGTCTGATTGTTTGCACGGATTGGATTGAAGGATTGTGAGTATGGATCTTTCTTCATACTATAAATTCCATTATTTTGTTTGATGCATGTCAATTGTAGAATTATTGTTTCTTTGCTCTCTAATACCTTTCTCCATTATCCTTGATGTTTAAAATATAACATGTAATCAATTCACCATAATTTTGTTTAGGAAAACTATTAAAATCTTGATATTTTGTGCATGAAAATCTGAAGCTGGAGCAAGAGTCTTGGTATCTCTCATGCCAGGTTTGGGATGGAAGTCTATTTTTGGCTATCTCTGGTTCCAGCTGGCTGAGGTTTGTATCCCGTATGGGGTAACGAACTATGACAATCGCACATACTAGCTTGTTTGGAGCTGTTGAATTGAGTCTTGGTATCTCTCATGCCAGGTTTGGGATGGAAGTTTATTTTTGGCTATCTCTGGTTCCAGCTGGTTGAGGTTTGTATCCCGTATGGGGTAACGAACTATGCCAATCGCACATACTAGCTTGTTTGGAGCTGTTGAATTGAATATCAGTCATCATCCTGTGTTCGCCTTTTCAATGTGTTTTTTTCTTCCACTTAAATTTCAAACTAGCATAATTTTGCATCATAGTTCCCGATTGAGGTAAGCCAGGAGTTGACAAAAAGCGATTTTTGAGGCCCGCGAGGTGGTGACAGGTTCACTGGTTTGAGATTAATCTGGGTGGAAGGGCTATTTGAGCTACCTGAGACCGATGGATATTGATTCGAAATTTATCAAATCATAGCATGATTTCGTTTTGGACCCATAGATTTCGTTTGAGACACAGCTGAGGATATTGTTCTGAACTTTCACTTGAGGGTCGTCAATTAGGTTAGGAGGATGCTGTAGGGACTGATCCCCTCTCGTATGTCTGGTGCATGATCCACTGACATTGTTGATTTTTATGCTTGAACCTTTTAGGACTAGCGAGCAACTTTTCATGTATTGTTAACTAATAAAAGATAAATTATCTGGGGATTAAGGGGGTAATAAAAGGTGAAGCACTGTATAGTCTTAGGGCAGCTAGCGTGTTATATATGATACATTTGTATGAACTTGAACCTAGTACATTATTTATACATGGTATATGTATGAGCCACCTCGGGTCTGGTACATTGTATATGGTACTGATGCTGTCCACCTCGGAACTGGTACAATCACCTCGAGCTTAGCGCATTGCATTCTTCCTTGATTTGATGGGTAGTAGTCACCAGTTAATTCCAAACAAGACTAATAAAAGATGCGTAGTTTATTATCTTGGATCTTTGTCATGTTGTATTCATATTTCCAATTTTGATTTAACGGAATGTAACTTTTACATTTACATGCTTGACACCTATATGCCTGCCGCCTCACGCACTTTTTGACGTCGACTCTTGACACCTTAATAGGCGTAGCTAGACTTGTTATATTTTGTTTGTGGTGCTGCTAGTGTTAGTATGGTAGGTTGTCCACAATGTTTATTGCTCTTTCCTTTGACACTTGTGATATGCTTAGGATCCGCCGTGTTAGTATAGCTGACACCTTTATTGATGTTTGCTTACGTGTGTGTTAATCACATGCTACTGTAGTGAGAACATATCTCCTCAGTACACCCCGCAAGCGAGCGAAAGTAGGAATCCCGTCAGAACCAACCCTATGGGAGTGTAGTAGTAGTTTACACAATTGATAGGATAGTCATGATTCCCTAACCAACCCTTTAACTACTCATGAATGCTATAGATCATCCTATTTTATAGGTTGTTCTGATAGAATCTTTACTCTGTGAGTGACACGTTCTCAACCAACAAAAGGTTGGAATGTCTATATTGCCTCCCTACCCAACTCATGGATGGTTGAGAATTCCCACTATCTTGCAGGGTTTCTGTGGTGATATGGTACTCTGGGATAATAGATGTTATTGTTTCATTATTATTTGCTTATGATTTCATGCTTTTCGTCTTTAGTACTCATGCGTTCCTACGCTGTGTGTGTTGCGTGTTCCTACGCTGTGTGTGTTGCATGCATACTTTGTTTACCACTTGCTAGTCTTCTTTCAGGTGGACCTACGGTTGCATATCCAGACCCAGGAGTGTGATTTTCCATTGCCTGTTCGAGCTCATCCGGACATGCTGGTGCAGCATCAATGAGATCAAATACACCCTAACCACTCCATCATCTATAGCTGCATACCCCTTACTTTTCAGTGAGATACTGTATCAGTTTTATGGCCGTGTGCCTTACAATTATAGTCATATACCAGTTGAAACTTGTATTATTTCTAGTTTCAGACATATTGGATTTGTATTCATTTATCTCATTTTAGTGTCTGTTGCTTATTCTTGTTTTAGTACATTGTTCTATAAATATTATGCATGTCATTTCATTGGTCTATGATAATCACATTTTTATTACATTTATATACCCTCATTATCTATTTCATTTAAATAAAAATGTCACTAATAAACATGTTTTATTTTAATTTGCTGGTTAATGAAGGATTAATGAATAAAAGTCCAAAATAATCAAACTCGTTGATTTTCTACCATTTATTGAAGCCCAAATAAGAAGATAAAAGAAGGCCAAAGAAAGCTCAAGGATACATGAAGAAATTGGGTCAAGAAATCATAAAAAAATCAATCTGTTGCAAACCAATTGGTTGGACAACCGATTGGTTCGTATCAAAAATTGTTTTATGGTTGCGATTTAATCATTGATCTCCAAATAAAATCTAACGGTTCTCATTTATTGCTGTAGGCTATGAATAGGGGTAGAGGCTGAGGGATTTGAGGGTGAATTTTTTTATAAAAAGTCATTTTCGAGAGGAGGGTTACTCTTAATTGAGAAAATCTTCCAAAATTATAATTTTATGTTGTAATTAATAAAATAATTTTTTATCTCTTTATATTTTGCTTTTCTTCTCTTTGTTTAATTATGAAGATGAAGATGAGATTAAGATGAAGATCAAAATGAAGATTTGCTTTCATCAAGAGGTTAGAACCCTCTTGAATTAGATTTATTTTCATGCCTTGTAGAGTAGAGCAGATTTACTTTCATGTCTTTATTTTCTTATAATTATTTTATAGTATATATTTATTTTCTTGCATAGCGTAGATTTTATTTTCTTAAACTATTCGCCAAGAGGCTAAAGCCTTTTTGGGAATTAGTTTTTATTTTTTTTCATTCTTTTCCTTTCATTCTCTCACTTAGAGGCTAGAACCCTCTTTGGAGTTAGTTTTTATTTTCATTCTCTCCCTTTTTTTTCTTTTTTTCTATTTTCTAAGATGTAGAACTAAAACTTGTAGGAATTCTAGAATTGCATGCGATTAGTTTAATTTCTTTTATGAATTCTGAATTACTCTCTTATGTTTAAAATGATTATGTTTAGGATAATCAACTAGAGAACTAATTGGTAGGAGGAATTCTAGAATTACTATTTACTTGTTGTTCTTTTCATAAATGTTAATTTTACTTAGATAATAATTTGATAGGTTTTGCTTTCCTAAAGTGGTTTGACAGTCTATACTTAATAAATCTGAAATAAAATGTGATAAAAAAAATAATTCATAATTTATAATTGAAATTGACTAATGGATTTAATTCTAGATTCTTCATATTTTTAATTGAATCATTCATCTTTTAATTTATTGATTTTTCTCTTTATTCTTGATTTTTCTTTATTTGATTCTTGATTTTATTTCTTCATCTTTCTTCCTCCCCTCTCACTCTAGTTTTGTTTTTATTTGCATATAGTCACAACTACTCTACTCATATCTCTCCACAATCACACATTTATCACTCCTAATTGTCACACACAACTTAAGAATCACTTTTGATTAATTCCTACAACATTTTCCTCACGGGATTCGATATTTTTCTATACTATAACTTGAAATTGCACTTGCAATCTTGACATATTAATAAACACCATATCAAGTTTTTGGCGTCGTCACCGGGGAATGTGCTTATAAGTAGAATTTTTCTATTTTGATTCTTTAACTTGTGTGTCTTATTGTGAAGAACCATTTTGCGATTGATGATAAAAAATTAAAGATCTACTTGTGGCAACTCTTCTTTGTAGTACTTTTAATTCCACCCATTTAGTTAGTTCCTCACAAGTAGAGACAATTAGGATCTAAAAAAAAGAAAAAAAAATTTACTTTTGACAACCATAATAAAATTCAGCATTCACTTGGATATTTATTATCAAGATATAATATTAAATAAGGGCTCTCTTTCTCGTATTTATTTGATTGTTAACCCTAATCAAAAAATAAAAAAAAATCTTTTTGCATCCTTTTATATTTGCTTTTAATTTCTAGGGTTGCATTGTATATAGTTAGTTGGAATTCACCCAAGTGATTTGAGCATCTTGATTTCGCACACACTTAGAAATATTCTTAAGGGTAAAAACCCCATAATCAAGATAATGTGAGGGATTTAATTACCCTTTTTCTTAACCCACAAATCACTAATTCCTCACTACACAAACGCAAGCCTTTTAAAAATGATTAGACGTTGCCCCTAAGGACTCGAGCTCATTAAGGATCAATAAATTCTTAAGTGAACCGGTTAAAGTTTACTTGAATTCGTTGGTGTCTAAGGCAAGGTTTAGGGGTTGCGTAAAGCGCTCCGCAAGGAACGAGGCAATTAATTGAATTTTGATCTCCCTCTAGTACTATGCTTACCTGGCTAACTGACCAAGTAAACTCCAATCTTTTCACTAAAGAAATTTATTGTTAGGAGCTGGTCTAGTTGAGTTTAGGCTTAACCCTAGAATTTAAAGTTATTGACATAAAGTGATTGCTTTTGATTCGTTTTAGTTAGTTTTTCCTTCTCCTTCTTGTCATTATCTTTTTGATCTTTTAGTTTTTTCCTCAAAAAAAAACTTATTTTTTTTCTTAGAATTTTTTTAGTTAAAATTTTTTAAAAATAATTTATTTTGGTAGGGTTAGGGATAGCACCAATCGTTTAATTCATGCTGAACTATCTTTTGAATGGCTAATCCACCTGTTCTTCAATATATGTGTTACACAACTAGAAATGCAATCCCATCTTACATTAAGCTTTTCGAGGTAAATGAAACTAATTTGGAGCTTAGAGCGCATTACATAAACATGCTTCTAAAATTATTAGAAAATAAAATTAAGACGCTTACATCTTTATCTCTGAGTGTGAGGAAGTTTGTTTTATGATTAAGATTAGAGAACTATCTGAGGATGCGATTAAGCTTAGATTTATTCATTTTGCTCTTAAGGATAAAGCCAAGAAATGGCTATATGGCTTACCCACAAATTCTATCTCAATTTGGGATGAATTTGTTACCGTTTTTCTGAAGAATTTTTTCCCTATTCACAAAATAGTTATGCTGATAAACAGTATTCAGAACATTAACATAGTCCTGGGAGAGCCATTTTGGAAGTATTTTGACAGGTTTTACTAATATTATTCTCCAATGTCCTCACCATGATCTAGAAAAGTGGCGATTATGCTAAATCATCTATAAAGAATTGAATTATTCTTCAAAAACTTTCTTAGAATCGATGTGCCAAGGGGATTTCATGAAGAAATATACCGATAAAGATTGCGAATTTTTAGAGAGTTTATCCGATAAAACCATACAGTGAGAACATTATGATGACATAGTTTCATTAGTTCCCAAACCCAAATTTAGGTGTCTTTCCTTAGAGTTAAATATTACCTCTGAAGCAAAGAAAGTTACAATCCTGCGCAGGTTAGAAGCCTTAGAAATTAAGAAAGGACCTCCAGCTCAAATCAACCATGATTCTGCCTCAGGTTGTCATAACCGTCTTTTCCCAACTCATGTTTTAGAAAGATGTCCTCTTTTAGGAAACAATCAACTACTAGGTCAGGTAAACGCTGCATTCCAACATCCCTTGAATGACCTATTTTCTCCAACCTACAATCCAGGTTGGAGAAATCACCCAAATTTTACATGGAATCAGGGAAACTTCTCTAGACATTAAAACTTTACTCTCACTTCAACCCAATAATTTCTTAAGGGTAACACAGTTTGTTTCAATTCCCAAAATAATTTTCAACAACCAAGTCCGCCACATCCAAATCAGTCTCCTCATCATTAATCTGTAAATTATATTCCTCCAAGTTTTGATCATGATAAATGTCTCAATGTTTTAGTAAAAGGTTTGGAGACCATGAATAAAGCTTCGACAAAGTCCACCAACTTGTTAACTCAAACATCAAACACTTTGAATTTATTCATGCAATTAACCAGATTAATTCTCAATTCCAACACCTAAATCATAGCTAGGTTAGAAACTCAACTTGGTTAACTAGCTAGTGTCATGAGTGAGAGAGAAAAAGAAACATTTTCGAGTCAACCCGTGACTAACCATAAGGACACGGGATCAAGTTCAAAATACTAAGCTTAAATGAATGTAATCCATTCCCTACAGTCAGGAAAACATGTCGATAATCAAGTTAGAATGCCTTCAAGTTGAACTCTTGAATTTAAACAAATTCTCTCTCCTTCTGATAACTCTATTCAGCAGTCACCCCTTCTAATGAACAAGAACCTGATCCCAAATCTGAGAATAATTTTGATAGATTAAAACAAGTTGCTCCATTTCCGGACAGACCTAGACCTAAGAAATACTCTACTCAGGAGAAGAAGATCCTATAAACTTTCAAGCATGTTAAGGTCAACATTTCTCTCCTAGATGTAATTGAACAAATTCCTTTTTACATAAATTTTTAAAAGATTTGTGCACTAAGAAGAGAAGAATAAATGTTCCGAAGAAAGTCTTCCTTGTTGCCAATATCAGTGATATACTCTCAAAGCCCATACCTTTTAAACATAAGGATCCAGGTTGTCCTACTATCTCATATGATTGGAAATAGTTTCGTTGATAAAGCACTTTTAGACTTAATGACCAGTGTCAATTTGCTTTCTTATTTAGTCTACTAGCAACTAGGTGTGAGAGAACTCAAACCAACCAGATACACTTTACAGTTAGCTGATAGATTTGTCAACGTTTTTATGGGTGGGATAGAGGATGTTCTGATTAAGGTTGGAGATTTTATTTTCCCAGTGGATTTCATAGTCTTAAAATACAGGTCATTTTAAATCCCAAAGGACAGATACATGTCATCTTAGGAAGACCGTTCTTAGCTACTTCTAATGCTCTCATCAACTATAGAACTAGTCAAGTGAAGCTATCCTTTGAAAATTTGACTACTGATCTCAACATGTTTAATCCAGGGAACCAACTAAATAATCAACCTCTAGAAATAAATTACATTCAGGAAAGTTCAATTGAAGAGTTAGAATAAGAGAATGAGTTAGACAAGAGCATTGAGGAAATCTTT